GGGGGGGATGGGGTCATGCTTTTACTTCGAAGTGAAGTTTATTCATGTACGCAGGTAAGCCAGTGGTAAATTGTCAATCTTCGAATTGTAACATTTGCAAACCAGAGAAATAGTCATCTCAAGTTACTCGTCGGAATGGGTTTCTAGCAGAATTCTGGACAGATTAGTACACACAGAGTTTCTCGATAAGGGACTTAGCGACAAATCCACGCATTTCTAGGAAAACGTGTGAAAAAATATGCCTGCACTACATAAGGCTTAAAATGGGTCTTTGGAATAACTGGAAGTACATTTGCTAGTGAAATGAAAGATTGTTCACGCAAGACTAGTATGTTGAAAGATAGCAGTCAAAACGGAATTAGTATTGGCATATTTGCCGATTTCAATCTGCAGTTTTGTGTATAGCCGTGACTGCGCTTAATGCGTCTTTTGAAATTTATTTATAAAAGTTAGATTTGGAAGAAATCGATGCAATCGTCTAAGTTAATGCTACTGCCAATTTGATAAGGTGCGAGACCTTTCTTCGTCGATATCCTCCAAACAGAAATTAAACAGCGATAGGTATCATAATGCACGCTTAAAAAATAACACCCCGTGATACTATGTTCATTAATTAATTGAAAAATAACAGATTATTCATTTCTTGCTTGGGTTTCGCTAGTCATATGAGAGTTAATTAAGAAAGCATGAGAACCACGAAGGAATCGAATGCTTGAGGGTGTAGAGTTTAGTTCTCCTATGCTCCAAAACCTTCACTTTTCTAGATGCGAGAGTGAGTCTTGCTGATATTAAATTTCAACTGGTATTGAAAAACAAAGTTGGTATTTGTATCCTAAACCGGCAATTAACAATAAGCATTTGTATGCTAGAGACAGTAACAGATCAATAAATGAAACTGAATAAAATGTATTCATGATTACTGTTTCAATTGCTTACAGCATGCTCAATCAAACAGCAGTTTGGGGGCGGTTCAACGCCGATGGGAAATTGTCTAGTTTCTGATTAACTGTAAATCCTGGATAAAATCGTTTATTAGGTTGTTCAGTGTGTACTAATGTTTCTTTGTCTTTCTAAGTGAATTTATACTCGAGTTGTTCAACATTTATGGGTAACTTAGCCATAAGTCAATTTTCTTTCATGCTTTAATCAAGTCTGAAATCGATTTAGATAGCCCACTGGTCAGTTCCGAGGGAAACACTGACACATTTCACAAATTTTTCTTTCCATACTCTGATGAAGTCACTATTATTCAAGACGTGAAGGCCTTAGTAACAATGTCTTTATTGTTGAATATAAAATATAGATGTGGAATAAACAAGAGTAGCTAGTCAAGAGGATTCCATGAGCACGCTTCATATTCTTAATTTATAATCTCGTAGGCTTCCGGAAACATTTGATTTTATTGGGATCTTGGATTACCAATATTTAATGTAAAAATAGAGTGCAATGACTATTTGAGTTTGGAGGTTGTAAATGTAATAAAATGTCAAAGAAATTATATAGTATAGGGTGCATCGTGCAAAGTGGTGTTAACCGTTAATATTTCTGATATTAACTAGAATGATTTCTCTACTGCGGATAAATAGCATTGATAGTGACTAACGAACACAGCAATCTCTATTATTAATCCTTATAAATTTTTTTTACTTTATGATGAACGAAAATATCTATATTTCAAAATCATTTACCATTCAATTAATATTTTGTATTGCTAATTTATCATTTTTATAATTAACAATAAAATGATGTGATACAGTTTTAGAACTTTGTAATTTTATGAATATTATGATTAAACTGTGGTAAGTATTATGGATTCTTATGTTTTATGGTAACCCATTATTTTGTACAAATGCTGCAATTAGTATTTATTAACTTGCGGCGGTTCGCTTGAGTCAAATAAATTGCAACTGTTTTGCGGTGCTACATTTAGGCTTTTAATAACTCTTTAATCCCAATCTTTGTTCTTTATACTTATCTTGAATTGGTTATTACTGTACTTGATCTTCTTTCACAAGCTGAAATATTGATTGTTTTTTCGTATGATCACAATTATAATTTCAGACGTCTGAATCAAAATGCCACGCGATCTTATTACTCTGCAGCTTGGACAATGTGGAAATCAAAGTAAGTTTCGGATATTTAAATGGCTTATATGCATTTATTTGCTTTATTTATAGTTGGAATGGAATTTTGGAAACAGCTCTGTGCTGAGCATGGTATCAGTCCCGAAGGTGAATTAGAGGATTTTGCTACCAATGGAATGGACCGGAAGGATGTATTCTTTTATCAAGTAAATTTTAAGATCAGGTCTGAGCTATTTATTTTACTTTTATTCTAATGTGTATTTGCTTTTTCCAGGCAGACGATGCTCACTATATTCCTCGAGCAGTTTTAGTTGATCTCGAACCTCGTGTCATTAATACGATTCTCACTTCTCCTTATGCCCGTCTTTACAATCGAGAAAATGTCTATATGTCGAAGAATGGAGGTGGTGCTGGTAATAACTGGGGCGCAGGCTATACCCAAGCAGAAAAACTCCAGGAGGAGCTTTTTGATATTATTGACCGAGAAGCTGAGGGAAGTGATAGCCTTGAGGGTTTCATAATGACCCACTCTATTGCTGGTGGTACTGGCTCTGGAATGGGATCTTTTATGCTTGAGCATCTCAACTCTCATTTTCCCAAAAAGCTCATCCAAACCTACTCAGTTTTTCCAAACTTGGAAGATACAAGTGATGTCGTTGTACAGCCTTACAATTCCCTTCTCACTCTTAAGAGACTTACACTTAATGCTGATTGTGTTGTAAGTTCAAAGTCTTGTTAAATTTTGATTAGTATATACATAAACATAACTACACTTTCTTGTTTTGTTTTCAGGTAGTTCTGGACAATACTGCTCTTCACAGAATCGCTACAGATCGATTGAGGTTGGAGAATCCCACGTTTGCTCAAATTAACCAGCTTGTGAGTTCCATTCCTTGTTTAATTAATATTTAATGTGTTTCATCCTGAGATAGTATATGACTGCCTGCGACTGGGCTTAAGTAGGATATTTATCTCTTTGTCTTTCTTTTATGCCATATGTCTCCTTGATTCGCTTATCGATTTCCCATGTCTTTGAGTAAATCTTGGGATCGACACTACTTGAAGTCTTCTTCGTTAGAACTTGATTGCGGCACTTCCTTGAATAATCCGTTGAGCTGTCAGTATTAACGAGGGGCTTGGGTCTGTTATTGCCAAACACTAGTATTATTAAATGGCTCTAGTAGAGCATTGGCTTCATAATAGGCCTTGCTTTTACTTTGACTTCTTATTATGTATATTTTAAAATGGGTCGGCATTTCACTATTTACTGCTTGGCTCTGAAATTTAATTCAAGTCGTGTTTACCCTTAGGTTTCAAAAGTCATGTCAGTGAGTACAGCGACTCTCCGTTATCCCAGCTACATGCATAATGATTTGGTCGGATTAATTTCTCCCCTCACCCCAACTCCACGACTTCATTTCCTAATGACAGGCTACACACCCCTTGAGACGGAGAAAGAAGTGGCCGAAGTGCGAAGAACAACGGTCTGTGATGTGATGCGCCGACTCCTCCAACCCAAAAACATGATGGTTTCCACTGCAGCTGAACGTAATAATCGCACTGATCACTGTTACATTGCCATTCTCAATATAATTCAAGGTAATTCAAATTTCCTTGTCTCGTTTACTTATTGTTTGTGTCTACAAAAACAAAAGATTTAAGTTATAATCACGAAAATATCTGAATAATGAAACTGTCAAACGACTCCATCGAAGGAGGTAATGTATTCTTGATATCACGAATCTTATTTGTTTAATATTCGAGAGTATTGTGTTATCATTTTTGCTTTAAGCAGAAGTGTTTGCTTTTTAATGTGTTGATGTTCAATCTCAGATTCATGGATGAAGTTATGTCTACCTTAAACCTACCTTGTTTATGGGTTTCTTACTTCCGTGAATTTTTGATACCACAACGTACACTGTGCACTTCGAAGACTATTAGATTATCAAAGATAAATTTAACAGATCTCAACTCACCACAGATCACTCGCGATGAACAGCCTGCTTTGGAGCAAAGTTTGTGGAGTTAGTTTGGCTATTTTCAAACCCTCATGATTCTAGTCTTGAATAGTTTTCTTGTTTTAACTTTGGTTGATTAGCTTTGTAGTTCCCCTGGGATTCTTATGGGAACATGATTTGATACTTTGATTCATCTTAAAGAAATAGATTTTATAGGTATCTGGCAACTCCAATTTCACTACTTAAAGTGGTCATTTTTTACTGTCTTCACCGATTGCAATTTCTGAAGCCACGTTTACCCTTTTTCGCCTCTGCAGTAAGCTGAATAGTTAGTATTTATCGCTGGAAGGTGCGGTCGTTTTTTGCCCTTTTTCGTAGTCTTATTTTCTTCGTTAAGAATTTGGTCTCTTTTTTACTCTCTCGATCCCTTTCCTATGGAAGTCGATTTTTTGCCTCCCTTGTTATCAGATATTCTCCAATTGGCTAACGTCTTCCTTTGAACTCGGGTAAAATTTTAGTTCAATAGCTTTTCATGATCATTGTCGATTGATATTTGTGTACTATTAAGTATATTCATTATTAATATTGTAATAGTTGGTAAAGTGTTGGCTTCATCTTTTCAGTGGACGACATGTGAACGTTTACTTATGTCTGAAGGAGCGATTATCACTGTAAGGTTTTGGTCGATATTGGGCTGAAAGACTTGCTTCTTTGCTTTCTCAGGATAGTCAAGTTGTAACAATTGTGTGGCACCAGTTTTTATGCATTTAAGTATAATTTTCTTATCTCGAATTGTGCTACAACTAAAAGTTTGTACGCTTCACATCCCCCAGTTGTGCTTTGAACGGCCATATATTTGAAAACTTTTAAGTAGGTTGCAAAGGTATTAAAAATATATACGTTCATCCGTTTTACCTAATTACTAATTTATCTCCGATTTGAAAGCCTATTTGGTTGTTTTTTTCGGAACCATTTTTCCACGTTCTGTTGATATTTAGATAATTCATCGATTCAACAAATTTCCTCTCATTTTAGGTGAGGTGGACCCAGCAGAGGTGCACAAGTCGCTTCAGCGAATTCGAGAACGTCATCTGGTCAAGTTCATTCCCTGGAATCCCTGTAGCATCCAAGTGGCCCTCTCACGTCGGTCACCCTACTTGCAGGCCTCCCATCGTGTCAGCGGTCTTATGCTTGCCAATCACACTTCAATCTCGTCTGTAAGTTTATGTCTGCCCTGTCCTATGCTAAACTCTGCTACGAAGGTAAGATGAGAAGTCAATGGATTGGGAATTTAAACCGCTTTTTTTTGCTTGAAAGTCAGGGAAAGAAGTTTCTAAGCTCTTCCCTTTCCTATCTTTATTAACTCCTCCACTTCGAGATTTGAAGTGGGCAGAGATGCTGGTGTAATAATTATGGGAAGAGAAGAAATCAACCCTGTAAAAGGGAAAATGAATTGTGTCTCTCTGGCATATTTGAACTTAGCTTTTAGCCTTCTTAGAATTGTATTAGATATTGTTACTCTAGTTTCATACAGTTTTTTATATCCTACTTTATTCCTCTCTTTCTGTTGGTCTCTTCATTTTTCATTCGGACATTACATTGGAATCTGTGTCTAACAGATAAATTAGGAATTCTGAAGGCGTAAATTTCTTGCTTTATGCCGCAATATTTGGCCAAATTTCAGGCACGTGGCTCCCAAAGTTTACGAGTGGATGCTTAACGCAGAATTACTTTCGTGGTGACTGGTTCGCATTTTTCACTTTCTCTCTCAGTGGAGACTATCGGTTTTTTTACATGATCACGGATTCCAGTTACTTGATCGAACAAGCTGGCCGTAAATATGTCCTTTTGCAAAACGAATGTTTTTCAAAAGTGGGAAATTGAGAGTTGAGTAGTGATTGTACTTTATAATGAACCACCACAACAATGGGAGAGAAGAAGGATATGGTGTAAAGTTTAGAGGAGCTGAGTATGAACACCAGTATGATATGTGCGAGTTTACCTAATCTTAATCCATTTTCCTTTTAGCTATTTTTGCGTGGATTGACACAGTACGACAAGTTGCGTACTCGTGGAGCCTTTCTTGAGCAATTCCGAAAGGAAGAGGTGTTCCGTGGCGATCCAGAACTGCGTGAATTCTCTGAGAGTCGACAAGTGGTTCAGCAGCTTATTGAGGAGCATACGGCAGCGACTAAACCGGACTACATTCAGTGGGGTGCTCAGAAAGCGGCTGCTGCCGCAGCAACAGCTTCTGCAGCTGCTCTGGCCTCCTCCTCGGTCATGTCTTAGTCTCTCTCTCTCTCTCCCTCTCTCGCCCTTTCTTTTCCACAACTTTCACTTCTATACTATTTGTTAATATCCCATTTTTGTATATTCTCCATATTGTTCTTTTGCACTGTGTTTTCTGGATGAGTGATTCTTTTAAGATATGAATGAACTGTGCCTAATTTTAACAAGTAGAGAGGATCTCTTTTCAGCCCTGCTACAGGATTGAAAAGATGTGAAGTCATCTACCATTTGATCTGGCATTGAGGCCTGGATACCACAGCAGTTGAGGCAGTACTAATATAATGTCTTAATTTGAGACACGTCTGTCATTATGTGATGTAGTATTGGCATAATAACCTGTAGGATGCAGTCCTGGCGATGGAAGTCTTCTAACTCACCTTAGTCAAAAGCTGAGCTCGGCTATGAATGACAGCCCAATCATCCAGATAAATAATCCATTAACCTAGTGAGTCTCAAGCTAGAATCCTATGTTGCAATTCAATGCTTTCCTTTTTCTCACTACCAAACTAGCCACGAACTGATTTAGAAGGTGCTCGTGTCTTTGCACTAAGTTGTCAGCGTCAATCCGATAATGAAAATTGCTATTTTGAGAGCATGTGTGGAGCTTATGTTCTCACCGAGATTAAAGTCCAAACCCTCCAGTTCTCCTTTAATGGTGATATGAACTCACATTGATTGCCCAAAGTGGTTATTTTCTGACCAAGTGTGGCAGAAATTTTCGTTAGCTATACTCTGAATTCCTGAATACCTTGAGAGGGCCTTCGGGGTCCAACGTAAAAGACGTTTTCTCTGTGTTAACAGCGTCTCCTTAAGGCAAATTGTCGATTATTTTGGAGATCTCGTACTGCCTTTCGTCATCGTTGATATCGCATTTGAGGTATTTGGGGAGGGGGAGCTTGCTGGCAGTGCTTTGATGTTGGAAAATGTTTTCTGTAGGAGACTGATTATGACCTTCCTGGTCTAGGAACTATTTGATCTACGCAACCAATATATTTATTTATTTATATCAAATGGAAGGCGTCTTGATGGTTATAATTAGCCCTTTAGTTGACTTTAGACTTCACAAAGGAGAAGAAGCATCAAATTGAAAAAGTCGAGAGGGGGGAACAGAAGAGTGTTTCAAAGATGCAAGAGACAAACACAAAGGTAGAAAAAAGGTGAGGTGAGTACTGTGGAAATAGTCGAATATGGCATAGAGTGGGGTGATGGTAGTTTGAAGTGAGAAGTCAACTGCCAGTTAATAGACTTTTTTGCCGTATGAATATACGTTGCCCAGGGTACACCACATGGAGGTAAGTCTATCGCAACCAATATAAACTAATAGGCACGGTAACTTTCTTCCTCATTTCTAAATTTGATTGCTTTCTTTGAGCACGTGTGGTTTCTGTTTAAATTATTGTT